AAACAAATAACATTATTTGTAACTGGATTATGGAATGTGCATTTTATTTATGCATTAGGGGTTTCTAATTTAACACAAAATAATATTTAAAAACTATATTTTTTGATATTATTAATTTTTTGTTTTAAGTTGCCTTTTTTAGTATTATTATTATTTGTTTTTAAAGTTTAGCATTGTAATCTTATACAAATTTTACAATCAGTCTAGTTTTGTGTTTTCTTTTTAATTTTTTTATGTTCTTTTTATTTGTAAGTTTGTTGTTGTAGTTGTAATTAAGTTGGAAACAAAAACATCTTAAAGAGTATATAATTAATGTTTATATACTGTTTAATCATTTGTCATGTCAAAAAAAATTAGGAAGACGTTTGGCGTTTTTTGTTTTGTTTCAATTCATATAATATTATAAAGATTTATTTTTTTGTTTTGTTTTATAAATTGTTTTTATGTTTTTTTTTTAATAGATGATGAGCCAGGGAAATGATATAAATCAAAATTACTATTTGTATTTTATAGCGGCACCGTTGGTAATTACTAAATAAAATCAGTATTAAGCACCAATTAGGAATCTAAAAGTGTCAATCAGTTATTTGGCATTAAATTGTAAAAACGAAAAGAAAGATAATTTTCAAATATCTTAAAAAGTAATTCTTTTATAGGCTGAATATTTTTTTAGGTATAACATTATCCTTACGTCCTCAATAGAGAGACAATTTATTTCTTTAATTACTAGAGGATCTTCTTCACAGACAGTTTGTACATAGATAGAGAAGACCTTTAGAAAGAATCCAATATATATTCTATAGATATATGACATATAGCTTTCCTGTAGGTAGCCTGGAGGCCTATTTAATATATTGGAGAACTCTTCTATAAATATAAGACCTGTAGCTATTCTACTGATAGAAGATCTACAGCTATTCTATAAGTAGAACACCTACATTGTACAGGCAGAATATATGTAGCTTTTCTAAGAATATAAAACCTTTAGTTAATATTCACTTCTAACCATTACTTGTTTTTTTTTTTTTACAAAAAATTTTAAGTGTTTCTTGATTTCATATTACAGTACTATCCCGAAAAATGGCTCTCTTTTGAAATAGGAATGTTATGTGGTATTCTTTTATATGATTCCAAAATAAATAAACAACATTACAAAAATGACACATTTTTTTTTAAAATTTAAAATCACAAATACAAAATTATAGAAAAAAAAATGTTTGAAATTAAAGGGACAACTATATAAAAAGGAAAACGAAATAATTATATACTACTTACATACATATAACCTAGCTTACACATATACGATTAACACTAAAGTTGTGTTCTTTTCCTATCATGTTTTTTTTTTCTTCTTAAAAATTAAATATTTTTTTGTTTTACATTTTCTGGTTTCATATAAAACTACAATTTGTTTTGTTTGTATTACTTTAGTTATTGTTTGAACAATAACTTGACATTCTAGTTGTTGATTTTTTTTTAAATCTTATGACTCTACAACTGACTAAAAACTACTAAATGTTTGTTTGTTTTGTTTTGCTTCATTTCGTTTCTCTTTCTTGCTTCCATTTCATTGGCGATTTTCATAGTTTTGTGGTGGTGTTGCTATTGAATCTCTATTTCTAATAACATAATTATGTTTTTTTCATTCTAAATTGTCAACAACACCACTAAAATTCTATTTATTCAACATTAGTTTGCGCTCACTCTCAGTGTACACAATTTCTTAAGATATCTAAAACCAAGAAATAATTCTCAAATACATGACATAAAGAATTGTCATTGTGTGCGATTTCCATTTAAGGTTTTCTTGTGTTTATCTTTTAAGGTTTCTTTATAAATGATAGTGTTTGTTGTTAGAAAGGAATAGTGTAATAAAAAAACAAAAATCCTTTTCAAATTATTTTGAAACGGCTTTGAAAAAAATTACTAGGGGAAATTAAAAACATTTAAATTAAAAAAAATATAATTAAAAAAACTACAACTATAAAATTTCTATTTCGTGGCTTCCCTTAAATTAATCTTTCTTAAATTTCCATTCTATATTGATTTTTTTTCTTCTAATAAAAAATACAAAAAAGTTTTAGTATTGCCTTTAGTTTGGTGGACTTCATAGAATTTATCTATAACTTCTACTACTATGATTTTGTTTTCACTTAATGTTTTTTTTTTTTTTCAAAATATGTTTTTTTCACAATTCGTTTATTTTGTTAATTAATTTCTTTGTTTTCTCTTTATAAAGAAACTAAATTGTTTCTTCATTGCCATTGTCCCTCGTTTTTTATGATCTATCATGATTTTCTTCTTTTTCTTTTATTTTACTTCTAAGCCTACCTTCTGCAAATGCTTGTTTTTTTCTTTTGTTGTTTCTTTTTTATAAAAAATCTACTATATTCTTCAGTTTTTAAGTCTATTATATGATTTTTTTGTCTTCTAAGTTTTAATATTTTCTATTTATCGTTCGACTTACATAATTTCCCTTGAATTTATTGTATGGTTTCTCAATATGTTTCTTTTTGTGTGTTTGTATGTTTTGTTTCTTCTTCTCAAAAATATAAATAATAAAAAAATATTAAAATTGAACATATATGATGGAAAAATATGTTTTATGTTATATTATTAATTAAAAATTATTATTAATTAAAAAAATTAAAAGAATTGATTTGTCTTCAATGTTTCTTTATTTCGTCCATGTTTTTAAAGCCGTTTTTTTAAACCTGTGTGATCTTTTAAAATATTTGAAAGAGTCCTTTATTAAACTTTGGAATCTCTATAATATTTTACATCCAGTAATCTGTAATTGTTGTTGACGGGTAAAGCCTCAAAAAGAAACATTGTGTTTGTGGTATTTTCTAGAACACATGACCGGTTTCCAATTGAGATGCAACAACATTCAAATTCTTCGACAGACTAACACAAATGACAAATGCATTATATTTTCACGATTGTTGATCATCAGGCATCCACTAGGGGTACACATTTTACAACATTTCTATCCAAAATTGGCTGGCATATATGAATTTAGGACCAAATTCAAAAATTCGTTACATTTGTTAAAAAAAGGACCAAATCTTTTAAATCACCAAATATTTGCTAATCAAATGTTGAAGATGACGAGAGTGGGGAATGCATATCATCATGCTCAAGTGGTATACAACTATACAAATTATGTTGTGTCCGCAGTCGACAAAGAAATATGGTATGCAATTTGTTCTTTACACTACACAGTCATTGTTGAAATTGGTTAAACCTTCCTTCTCGACCTTGGAACCTTCTATAAAGGCTTATGTAATAAACACTCCTAAAAATCCTTTTCTGTTAGAGATAGAAATACTTAGAGATAGAAATACTTCTGAATAGAAGGAATTCAACAAGAACTCTTAACGGAAAGAAGATAACATCAGTATTTTTGTATGTCTACTGCAAATCGAATGAATCTATTTAATGTCTTGTATAGAGAAATGAGTTTAATTTATTAATGACAATATCGGATTCCTTGAGTCTTCGAGTCTGTTGCAATAGTTGAAAATATTTTAATTATGAATATTTTGTATTTTGTGGACTTGCAATAATCAAAATTTTTTTATATAAAATCTCTTTTTTTAATTTCAACTATTACAAAGGCTATTTATGTGTTAACAAAATGTTGTTGCATACTTTTAGGCGTAGCGAATAAAAAATGTTATTTGAAAGAATTCGAAGATATTTAAAAGTGGAAAACATAACATTTAACGTTTAGAAATACACAAACAAGGAAGACAAATCAAAATAATAATTTGTTGTTTGTTTTTGATTCACAAAGTTTTTTTTCTATAATTGCAACTAATTGAATTATTAATGCCAGTTATAATAAATAAATTACAAAAATAAAATAAAAGCACAAGAAAAATCCTTCTACAATTTTTTACAAACATATACATATCATTTATAAAATGAATTTAAACAAAAAATATATGAATAAAACGAGCAAGGCATTTTAAGGAAACACTTGGAATAAATAAAAATTATTTATGGAGGAACTTCAAAATGGTTAGCATACTACATACAACACAATATATAAAATAATGAATGAATTTTAAATTAAGCATAAAATTAGAGTTGTTTATTTTTGTTAGAGTTTTGTTTAGTGTTTTTATGTAAAGTTTGTTCCTCTGTTTTGCTTTGCTTAGATTTTATTTCTTGGTTTTCGGTTGTGTTCCGTTTTGTAAATTTTATTCTATTTTTCAGTTTCTCTTCTGACTGTGTTTCTATAAATCCCTTATTACGGCTAACCTTATTTGTTCCGGCTTGCAAAACTTTTTTTTATTTTTCTCTCTCTCTCTCTTGTTCCTGGCAACTACTGTCTGTTAAGTTCGCAACTTTGTTGATGCCGTAATAATAATTATTTTTCTCACATTTTCCAAGGTTTAGCTGTGTTAAACTTTTCCATAGTCTACTATTTTTCTCATTTCATGTTGTGTTAATTTTTTTCCTTTCTTTTAGTTGCTGGTGCTTTCCATTTGTTATTTTTCGTTTCCTTTTCAACTTATATTTCTAAAGTTTATTTTATATATATTTAAATATAATTTTTAAATTAAATGTTGTTTTATTTGCATTTTGCAATAAAAATGTTTTTGTGTTTCAGTTTTTTCTTAAATGTTGTTTTCAGTTGTTGTGGTTGTTGTTTCTAATGCTTAAATAATAATATTTGTTTTTATTATTTTTATAGTTTAGTCTTTGCTTTACTGTTTTGAATTTATTTTTTTCCTCCATTTAGTTCATTTTTTGTTAATCGTCTTCATCTTTATTATGTTGTGGTTTTCAAGTTGTTGTTGTTTGCTGCTGCTGCTTTTGTTGCTGTTGTTGGTATCCTTTAGTTTCAGTTTTTCATTAAAATACAAAAGTTTCCTTTTCTCTGAATTTGTAAAGTTTTCGGTTTTTTTGCTGGTTCTTGTAAATGAATATTTTTTGTTGGTTGTTGTTGCTCTTATCATTTATTTTATTTCTTGTTTTTTCTAAGAATATTTTTGTTGTTGTTGTTTGTCTAAATACTTTCAGCCACAGTTGTTGTTGTTGTTGTAAAATCCAGTCAAAATCAGCCCCTTCAAAGTGCCACATGCGGTATTAGAATATTACATCTGTAATGGTAGGTATTAATTTTCATTTTGGTTAGTCAACAATTTCACAGAGAATTGGTTCCATTGGTCATTAGTTTTAATTTTAATTTTACAAGTGCGATGTGATAATGAGGCTAGACATGCGATTTGAAATAAAATGAAAATGAGGGTTTTTGGGCTATGAACATCATTAATTAAAATTTTATATTTTTTATAACATTTAAAAATAATTTACAGATAGAACATTTTTACAGGTTTAATGGTTCGATGGAAGTATTTTAAAATAAAAAATGTTATTTAAAAAAAAAAAAATTGTCCGTAGGAAATTTTAAGGCTGGCATTTCCATTTGTTCTGACAACAGTGGACCTGAAGGTCTTCTAAATATTATATTATCGAAATATAAAATACCTTTCGAAAGTTGCCTCTCGAAATACGAGCCACATGAAATTCCCTGAGGATGTCTTCTGCCAACACCAGAATTAAAGATTTTTTATTAAGGAACCCCCATTCTTGAATTTCAATGGGCTGGCAAATCAATACCAATGCTTGTTTAGGTTTGTAACTTTACACATATATAATTGAAGATTTTAAATAGAAGAAAAATAATTGAAGATTTTAAATAGAAGAAAAATAATTTACAAAAAATTTTTGTTACTGTTTTGTTGTTGTTTTTTGTAATTAAAGAAAATTGGGTTATTAGTTTTTGAGTTATCGTGCCCGCCATTCGCAAAAACGCTATTTGGAGAAAAACGCGTTTAAAGTTTGAGAAGCCCTCTTGCTGTCACCTGATGCTAACACAATAAATCGGCTATATCGTCAAAAATTGTTGAGATTTTCACTTTAAAAGTGTAGGTTCAAATTAAATCAAAATAAACCAGTAAGGAAAGTAGTAAAGTCGGACTGGGCCGACTATATGATACCCTTCACCACTTTGGGTATATTCTACATATGTATCCGAAAAGACGTCGCCTTTTTGAAGGAATTCTGACATGAAATTAAACGAACTTAAAATGTGATTTTTATGTCTTTCTGGAACCTATGCTAAATTTCATTTCGTTTGGGCTAGTTTAGAGTCGTTTGCGCACAGTGGGACAGATTTGTGTAAATCGATTTAAAGCAAACTTGACACACGCTATTCGGTATGCTGCACTGTTTAAAATTTAATCTCAATAAATAAGTCGAAATTATATATGGAAGCTACGATAAATCTATATCTGAACCGATATGAAGCAAACTTGCCAGAGATTAATTTATATTAATTTCAGTACTTTTTGTCAATCCGCCTAGCTGTAGATCTTTATTGCACAATTTACATAAAATCGGACGAAAATACATATACACTTAATCTACACTTAATTCAATAAGTTATACCAAAATTTGTGCAAATCGAATGATTTTCGTAGACTTTGGAGCGCCATTTACCTAAAATCGGGAGAAACTATATATAGAAGCTATATCTAAATTTGAACCGATTTTCACGAAACTTACCACACGTCATTCTATACTTAATTCAATACGCTATGCCACAATTGGTGCAAATCAAATGATTTTCAGGGACTTTGGTGCACTATTTACCTAACATCGGGCGAAACTATATATGAGAGCTAGATCTAAATCTGAACCGATTTTCACGGAACTCAGCACACATCATTCTAGACCTAATTCAGTAAGCTATACCAAACTTCGTGCAAATCGAAAGATATATAGGGACTTTTGTGCACAATTTACCTTAAATCGGGCGAAACTATATATGGGAGCTATATCTAAATCTGAACCGATTTTCACGAAACTTTGCACACGTTATTCTAGACCTAATTCAGAAGGCTTACCAAATTTCATGCAAATCGAAATATATATTGGGGCTTTGGTACCCCATTTACCTTAAATCGGACGAAAATATATATGGGAGCTATATCTAAATCTGAACCCAATTTCAATAGGGTTCGTCCTTGGGCCAAACAAATGAGCTGTGCCAAATTTCATCCAATTCGGATCATAAATGCGACCTGTACTTTGTTTACAATTTAACATGGATGGACGGACGTACGGACATGCATAAATCGACTCAGGAAGTGATTCTATGCATATTCTCAAAAGGAACCATGGGTCTATCTCGATTATTTTTGCCTGTTACAAACATATGCACAAGGACATAATACCCTGTACCACAGTGTGGTGAAGGGTATACAAATTAAATTTTTTGAAACCGAGAATGGATGGGGTCTCCTTAAAGAGATTTTGTCTCTTTAGAATAGAGGTTCAGAGGTTTATTACAGATTCTTAAATCATCAAACATTGGATATGGGTGGATAGTTATGATTATGACCTTCAGTTAACTTTGGTTGACTGAAAGTTGAAAATTTCTCCGATCTCTCAAATATGCTATCTGTAGATTATATCTATAGATGATTGTTAACAGAACAGAAGATAAATTTATATTTCAAAGAGGTAATCCATCCATATGGGACATGAAAGGAAAATTATTAGGTCATCTATACTATAGAACCGTCAGACATACAATACAACCTAATAATGAAATTGTGTTGCATACTTTTGGGCGAAATAGTTTAGAAGGGAGAATTAGTAATTAACAAAGTAGATTAAGGTTTCCGTATATTTCATATCTATAGGATCTGTTTTAGAAAACCCCCACAAAATGATCTAACTAGGAGCTCAAAAGGCATTCAATACAGCAAATTTGTTTCAAAACTATCTATAGCTGATGAAGACTATGAACATGTTTTGTATCTACAGGATGCATGAAAAGGACTTCTAACGGAAATAACTTCTATATAGAAAACCTTTAATCCACAGATTATTGTTTATCTCTTTGATATAAACAACAAACATTTATCTACAGAAAAATATATTAGGGGATCTTTCTGCTGGGGATGTTAAAGCGCAGGGAAACTTGGAAAATCTGACCGAAAGCATCATTGTCTTGTAGTTCTAAAGACCTTCAAGAGCTCGTATATGTATAACAAAATGTTAAAATCTATTATATACATAAATCATCTTCAATAGCTCTATTATCTTCAATATACCTCTGGAGGGCTTGAATGGGATTTTATCTGTATAAGCTGTGCAAAAGGTCTACTATACATCTGATGTATCATTATTACTGTTTTTATTTAATATACAAAAGTCGTTCCAAAATCTTATATTTATTTTTAGGATCTGCAGTGGCCTGTCTTTCATCGGCCAGCACCTCCGCCTTAAATTCATAATATCCATGACTCATAAAAAACGAAAAAAAAACCATTGACAATAATAAAAACTAATATAACTAACAACTCCCCCAAATATGTTCATGATGTACTTATCAAATGATTGATGAGCGTTTCGATGATGATAATGTGCTATTCCATATTCAAATAGTTCAACTGTATATTCTTTTAATTTTTTTGATGTACAACACTAATAATAAAAACATTGTGATGAACAGATTTTAAGCAAACAGGCAGGCAAAGCAGGCAGACACTAGCAGCGCACAAAAATGATGACACGATTGATGTTATGAATAATAGCATTTAATGAATTAAAAATTAAACGAAATAATAAATGATAACACAAAAACAGCAAAATTGAATTAAAAAACCGGAACAAATTACACACAGTTCCCATTAAAAAAAAAATAATAGATTGTAGTTTTTTTAAGAATTAGTTTATAAAAGTTGTTTTTTGTGACAATGATTGGCTGTCACGATTGATGGATTATCTCGTATTGTAAAAAAAGGTGTTATTAAATAAACACAGTTATGCTAGAATTAAATTTCAAATTAAAAGGTCAATTTATCTAAGGTTACTATACTAATGGACATCACATGCACTAAAAATAGAAATGAAAACAAATAAAATATAATCACATAATTATTTCAACATGTGACTTGATTGAATATTTTAAAATAGAGTATTTTTCGACTATTTATTTATTTTCTAAATACTATTTAGTATTTGGAAAACAAGACTACCATGTTTATAAAAAAAATTCATTATCAATTATCGAATAAGGAATCTTTTCCTACACAACTTTTTTCATTCCTTGAGTATCCTTTTAATTGCGGCATAACAATCCAATAATAAAACAAAAGTGTTTGTAATGATTTTAAGTATGACACTTGAAGCCAAGAAAGCTAAATTTATAAAGCTTAACCCAGACAAGGCCAGTTTTTTCTTCAAAATCTAATATTATATTTTTAAACTTACATTTATTATTAATAATAATGAAATATTTATGGAAATTGTTTTGACATTAAGCTGGGAGAGTATAATAGCAGATACAACAATAAAGCAGTGAGCGGAGCAGTATAGTCGGACGGGCCGACCATATGATACCCTACACAACTTCCACGAAAATCTAACTTTATGTGGTACTACATTCTGAGATTGGGTAATATTTCGCGATATTTGCACCCTCTTGACCGACTAGAGGTCAACAAATATTACTAATATTCAGTACAGCTATTCTAATTACATATGCAGATTCCTTCACCGTGGGTTTTGTTGTAATGTTCGGCCTTCAATTGTGGTCGATAGATCTACTCGATAAACACAAAAAATTAAGTTTTCGATCCACTTTATCCCAAATATAATATTATCTGATCATTACCGAAAATATAGGCGTTGTCCTTGACCATAACGGAACCTCACGGAACATTTCAAAACGATCAGCGGTATATTTCCTTCCTCTAGTGTGATAATGGGTTGCTAATAATATCTGAATACGTAGACACCTGTAAATATTTACATGTAACTCCCACATCCGAGTACATACAACGATATAATTGGTATCAATTTAAAGGTCAACCACTCTTCTTGGATATACTATCAATTTGGATATACTATCAACTATCGGGTCTATGTCCTCCAGGAGTAAATATATACGCTATAGAATACAAATTTTGTCATTTTTCACACAAAAGTAAAGGTCCATTTGAGCCGCTATATATTGACCGATCTTTATCAAAACAAGCATGCCTTTTCTTTGACCCGATCCCCTTCTCCATGTAAAAATTCGCGATGTTTGGGCCATAATTGCGGTCTCTGGAGCGACCAGAAAATCAGATAAAAATAAAGTTTTTGGTCCATTTCATCCCCTGAATATTAACCGATCTTTACCAAAAACAATACGGGTCTTCATTGGCCAGAACCCATCATAAATGCAAAATTTCGTGAAGATTGGTCCATAAATGTGGCCTGTATCGTGTTTACAAATTATAATGGACAGACGGACGGGCACACATGTCTAGATCTACTCAGCTAGTCGAGATATGATGATCGGTATACTTAAAGGTGGGTCTAGGACCAATATTTCGAGGCGTTACATACTCTTGGGGCTGCACAAAGCTATAATACCCTGACAACATGGTTGTGTAGGGTATAAAATAACTTAGAGAAATTTACTGAGATAACGATAGTTTTTTTCCAGTGGTTTTGGTGAATTAGTATCTAAAACATTAAGAAAAAATGTCGTATGTGCAACCGTGCGGATTCCGCCAAAGTTAAAATATGAATAACATATGTATAAACTCATTGAAGATAGCTATAATTGATATGGTCCCTCATATGTAGGATAGATGTAACTAGGTATATATATATATATATATATACGAATGGTCAAAATTAAAATTTCTGCCACTTCAGTTGGAAAATTCAGTTAGGATCCTCAAAACACCAAAGATATTATTCTATGTAGGGACTTTACATTGAACAAGTAAAAAGAAATATATACCCTCAGCCGGGTCCACCTTCGGACATCATTCAGGCTTGGTAATGATAATAGGCTGTGGATTGTATGGTTCAAATCTGAAATTTAATTCGCCTAATATTGGACTTATAAATATTGAGTTGGGAGGTACCAGAAGGAGGGGCCCAATTGATCTCACCTTTGGTCTTCATCTAGGTTTTGTAGATATAAAAAGTTGTGCAAAGATTGGTACACATCGGATAGTCCATTCGCATGATATTATAAATTTAATGGTTCGCCTAATTTTGACCATTTTTTTGGGGTAGATACCAAAAGGAGTGGACCTATATTCCGCATCTTCGAACTTTAACTAAGTTTGGAAGAAATATTAAGATATGCAAAGTATTATCCTCTGAAAACCCAAAATGTATAATTATAGCCACTTCGGTGGGAAAATGCAGTTAAGACTATCAAAATACCTAAAAGGGGTGGATTGGGGCTATGCCAAAAACATGATCTTTATTACTAATATTTTTAAAATCGGACGAAAATGTATATAAGATGTGTATATGGGAGCTATATCTAAATCTGAACCGATTTTCACGAAACTTAGCACACGTCATTATACCCTACACAACTATGTTGTCAGGGTATTATAGCTTTGTGCAGCCCCAAAAGTTTGTAACGCCGCGAAATATTGGTCCTAGACTCACCTTTAAGTATACAGATCGTCATATCTCGACTAGCTGAGTCAATCCGTCCGTCCGTCCCTCTGTCCATTATAATTTGTAAACACGATACAGGCCACAGTTATGGACCAATCTTCACGAAATTTTGCATGTAGGATGGGTTCTGGCCAATGAAGGCCCCTTTTGTTTTTGGGAAAGATCGGTTAATATTTAGGGGATGAAATGGACCAAATACTAAATTTTTTTAGGTTTTTGTAGTCGCTCCAGAGGCCGCAATAATGGACCGAACATCGTGAAATTTTCCATGGAGAAGGGGATTGGGCCAAAGAATAAGCATGCCTGTTTTCATAAAGATCGGTCAATATTTAGCGGGTCAAATGGACCCTGACTTTTGTGTGAAAAATAACAAAATCTGTATTCTATAGCGTATGTATTTACCCCTGAAGGACATAGACCCGAGAAGTTTATATTATATCCAAGAGGAGTGGTTGACCTTTAAATTAATACTAATTATATTGTTGTATGTGCTCGGATGTGGGAGTTACATATATCCGTATTCGTATATTATTTAGTAACTCATTATCACTCTAGAGAGCGGAACTATAGCGCTGATCGCTTTGAAATGTTCCATGAGGTTCCAGTTATGGTCAAGGACAACGCCTATATTTTTCGGTGATGATCAGATAATAATTATGGAATAAAGTGGACCGAAAACTTAATTTTTTGTGTTATTTTTGTGTCGAGCTATAGACCACAAATGAAAGCCGAACATCACAACACAACCCCCGGTGAAGGGAATATGGACAATAGCTGTACTGAATACTCGTAATATTCGAAAATATGTCAGTGAGAGGAAGGATGCAAATATCACGAAATATTGCCCAGGCTCGGAATAAACATCCGCAGAAAATTTGAGTTCCGTGATAGTTGTGTAGGGTATCGTATGGTCGGCCGCGTCCGAATATACTGCTCCGCTCACTGGTTCTACAAATCCAACGATGTGCAGGGACTTTGCTGCACCTTTAAATCTAAACTATATATTTAAATCTGAACCGCTATATTTAAATCTGAACCGATTTTCTCTATTTTCAATAGGATTCGTCCTTTGGCCAAAAAAGTGACTTGTGCGAAATTTCATCCAAATCGGCTTATAAATGCGACCTGTACATTGTTTACAATTTAAGATCAACGTGCGAACTGTCGGACAGAAATGTATAAATCGATTAAGAAAGTGTTTCTATACATATTCTCAACCATGTGCTATCTCGTTTCCTTTTGCCTGTTACAAACATATGCACAACGACATAACGACCCTGTACCACAGTGTGGTGAAGGGTATAATAATGACTTTAATTGAAATTGAATTGAAATCTTAAAAATAAAAATTTTCAATACAGAACATTTATAAAAGCTCACCTTACTAAGCAGATAGTTTAAGTCCAAGAAAGAGAACATATGTAAAGAATAACCTATGATCTGGGCCTTTTACCATCGATTTTTATTAAACTTCAAAAATATAACTGATACCACAAGTTTTGCATATTTTTAAGATCAAGAATTTAGATGTACATGTATAAATAAAACCCTACAAAATTGTTTAATTTTTTGTTGAACTGTGTGTAATTAAATCACTAATAACAACAAAAGGTAAATCTAAAAAAGCAACATAAAAAGGACGTCAAGTAAGTAAACACAAAACCGACAGCATAAAACACCTCTAGGAAATATAATTTTTTGGACAACAATTTGTTAGTGTGTTTGTGTGAGTTGTGAGAAAGTGATAGGGTGAAATAAACAATTAATTTTAATGTCCATGTCATTAATTTGTTTTTAAGATTTAATTTCAGTTTGTTTTTTTTGGTTTAATTTTAGTTTGTTTGTTCTGAAACATATCCATTCAAACACACTGACGCACTCACCTCGCGAAAACCTATTTGGGAGCGGCTGGATGTGGATACTGCGTATATGCCTCATCGGGTGATGCAGCTGTGCTAGCCTGTTCAGAATCTGTCATTTGCATTGTTGGTATAATTGTAGGTTGTGCATAATATGGATAACTTGGACTAATATACTGTAATGATGGAGAGAAATTCTAAAAGAACACAGAGAACACAAGGAAATAAATAAAATGGAATACAAATTAAATGAAAATTAAGAAAAAATTAAAAAGGGGTGTTACAGTAGATCATAAAAACAAAATTGAAAATGTTATATTCATAATTAATATAGGTAGGTATTTATTTTTACAAAAACAAATGTTGTGGCGTTCCACATTAAAAAAGTAAACAACAACTACTTGGTAGCGTAATTTTCATTTATATATATATAATGTATTATATCATCAAGTAACTGTTTTATTTATTTATATACATATACATATTTATATGTATGTTTAATATAATTAATTGAATTTAAATTATTTGTTTGTCTGTTGTACTTACCGAATTGCCAATTTGCAATGTGGCCAATTGGGGCATCATTGTGCCATATGGAACGCCTGTGTCGCCGCTAACCATCATCGATATGCCACGTGGTTGCACTTGATTGACAGCATCTGGTTTATAGGAAGCAACGCCTAATTGTGGAGCAGCGGCCATTTGCATATACTGTTATATAGATATATGGTGATGTTGAGTGTGTTTGCAATATCCATGTATGAAGTAAAAAAAAAAACAACAACAACAATAAGTGTGTAAGTAATTAACTTAAATATGCATAAATCATTTATTGTAATTATGTGTTCATTAATTGAAAAACAGTAAATTAAGCATATGTAGACGTTATATCAATTGTATGTGGTTAAGGCATGTATATATATATATATATTAAAACGTTGATAGTCATAATGAAATAATTCATATATTGAATTATATTTATAAACATTTTTATATATTTCTAAATTATATGCATCATAATTTGCACTATTATTAATTGATAGTTTTAGACTTAACCCCGTATGAAGACAAGTAGTAAGGGGTTGTAGACCCAATTACTTCGCTGTTCACACATAACTTCCTATATAAGATATATAAAAAACTAAGAGATTTCGGGAAAATATCTTGAAAAATATGCCGGTACACAAAAAAAGTACACAAAATCGCTTGATACAATTTTCTGGGGACAATACCGAAGAGTTATATCTGAAAGAGTTTGAACATTAATTGCGAACTATGGATATGGGCATTTGACTAAAAATTTCAATTTATGTATAGTATTTTAATCAATTAATTTGTTGATAGTGAAAGTTAGGCTATTCTGATTCTCATCGCTTTATATAATTACATGTAAATATGTTTGTGTGTTATATGGAAAAGGAAATTTGTCATTTTCCAGATGAATATATTTCAACCTTGAATATTATTATTGTTATTAAATAATTTAATGCTATCCACAATTTTAATAATAAATAATTTAATTGCATTTCTAGAAAATTTCAATAGAAGGACTTCTATAGAAGAAAATCTCGTATATAGAAAATATCTTGTGATTGGTCTTCTAAAAAACTTTTGAAAATAGAAAACCTTTCAGAGAGATATGACATTATAATCCTCTTAAAAGTATTTTATATACATAGCATGCTTTTAGGAGGTTCTATATATATAAGATAGGAGAGCTCTTATAGACAATATAAAAATAAAACCCTTCTAAATTGAACATATATTGTCTATGAAAGATTTGTGTAAGGTCTTCTGGGTACTGATGACGTGCAGAAATTGTAGACATTTTTAAATAATAGTCCAATTTTCTGTCAATGAAAATCTATTGGCTGCAAAAACATCTAAAAAAGGTCCGTAGAAGGCTGGTCATTTACAGAGGCCATGTACATGTGTTGCAATACAGTGGGTGAAACAAGTATGATCCCAGTTGGAAAAACAATAGAGATATTTTCCTGAACTATTACAGGACCTGTAAAAGATCTCTAGATTTGGAAAAAATGAACTTTATTTTTCTCAATAAAAGTTCCACAGAAGATATTTTGTCAAAGAAGACCTGTAGCAGGTCATTTGTTTATGGTTAACTCGTAAAAATTATTCTATCAATGACGGACCTGTAGAGTGTTTATCGTCCAGAGAAGGACTATATAAACTCGTTTGCAAATATGGAAACTGTAGATGTTTTTGGGAAATCTGTTAAAGCTTTTATCTCTCTTGAAGGCAAGTAGAAAGGCTATATAGAGGACCTAAGGGGAAATCTCATTTCCAAGTGTTACCTGTGAAAGATTTTTGGTCTATTGAAGACCTGAGGAATGTTTTCATTATATGGAAAACATTATAAAGTTCTTCTGTCGGTAGAAGAAGGAGATTTTGATATGTCAAAATTCTCAATTAAAGACATGGCAGTAACTTCTGGAGAAACTCTGTCTATAAAATAACTGTATGAATATGTTTGTCAAAAAGGTCTACTGACAATAAGTCTTTTGTCTACAAAAATTCTTTCTTCTATATAGGACTGTAGAAATTAGTGCACAGAGGTCTAAAATTTTTTCCATGGATGACCTGTGAAATGTGTGAAGGCTGGTCATTTACAGAGGTCATGTACAGAGGATATATAAAAGGTCTTTGAGTAGAAAACCAGTGGAAAGTCTTCCTTCAATAGAATGCCTGTAGAAAGACTTATGCTTATAGAAATCCGATAACAAGTTTCCCTTTAATTGAAGGCCATCAGAAAATCTTATGTATAGAATGTGTTGTAGAATAGAAGGTCTAATGTTTATAGAAGAATCTGAAGAACTTGTTTCTATAGGAGACCTGTATATAAAGAAGACATTTCAATAAAGGAATTGTAATATATCTTCTTTACCTGGGTACCTCTTAGAGGTATTTTCTCTATATATAGCATACCTGTAAAAGGCCTTTAGCCCATAGGATACATGTTAATATAAAAATACATTTTAATAGAGGAATTGTAATATGTCTTCTTTACATGGGGATCTCTTAGGGGTATTTTCTCTATAGAATACCTGCAGAAGCTATTCTATAGAGAAAATACTTCGAAACGGTCACTAAAGATCTTCTACTGGTCAAAAGAGCTTCCACATTTCTTCTAAAGTCTTCTAAAGGCAAAAAGCCTTTTACAGACAAAAGTGAAAGGCTTTTTGCCTTTAGAAGACTTTAGAACAGTGTTGGGCAAAATTAAATTGAGGGTAGGTGTGTGTGAGCGAGGGGGGGTACCCCTATATGGGGGTTACCCGAATAAATTGACCTATATTTATAATTTATAGTGGATAGATTTGCTACCTAATAAGAACTCGACGTACTAAATTACAGTCAATTCGGTCCATCAGAACCCCCAAAATACCAAAAATTTGGGGGTACCGTTATATGGGGACTACCAGAAAAACTGGACTTATATTTATAATTTTTAGTGGAGTAATTTGGTACCCAATAAGAACCCAATGTACAAAATTTCAGACAATTCAGTTATAAAACGAGCTCAAGAACCCCAAAATACCGAAAATTGTGGGTACCCTTATATGGCGACTATCCGAAAAAGTTGACCTATATTTATAATTTTTAGTAGGGAAATTTGCTACCCAATAAGAACTCAAAGTACCAAATTTCAGCGAATTCGGTCCAAAAATGCGATCAAAACCCCCAAAATACCGAAAATTGGGGCTACCCTTATATGGGGACTATCCGAAAAAATGGACCTATATTTATAATTTTTAGTAGGGAGATTTGCTACCCAATAAGAACTCAAAGTTCCAAATTTCAGCGAATTCAGTTTAAAAAGTGCTAAATAACCTCAAAATACCGAAAATTGGGGGGTACCCTTATATGGGAGCTATGCCTAAACGTGAACCGATTTTCTCCAATTTCAATAGGGTTCGTTCTTGGGCCAATTAAGTGACCTGTGCCAAATTTCATCCAAATCGGATCATAAATGCGACCTGTACTTTGTTAACAAAAATACATGGACGGACGGACGGAGGAGCAGACAGACGGACATGCATAAATCGACTCAGAATGTGATTCTATGCATATTCTCAAAAGCAACCATGGGTCTATCTCGATTATTTTTGCCTGTTACAAACGTGTGCACAAAGACATAATACCCTGTACCACAGTGTGGTGAAGGGTATAAAAAGAGAACATGTGTTTACCCATCGGCCCTCAGTTACGGTAGCGTATATGGGTAAGAATGCCTGCTTTAGAAGAAATGCGGAAGCTCTTTTGACCAGTAGAAGATCTTTAGTGACCGTTTCGAAATTCTTCGAACGTAAATTAAGGATCTGTAGAATGTCTATCGTCCCTAGAAGGACTATATAAACTCTATTGCAAATATGGTACCTGTAGATGTTAATGAGAAATCTATAAAAGCATTTCTGTCTCTTGAAGACACGTAAAAGGGCTACTGTCTATTGTGGATCTATGGGAAATCTTATTTCCGAGTATTAAATGTGAAAAATCTTTGGTCAGTAGAAGACCTGGTAAATGATTTCATTATATGGAAATCATTTTAAAGTTCTTCTATCTGTAGAAGAGGTTTCTGTATGTGACAGAGTTCTCAATTAGATGGCATAATGCCCATGTAGGATTTGTAGGAAATAGTTATTCCGGAGAGCCCCTGTCTATGAAAGACATCTAAATATGTTTTTCTATTGAAGGTCTACTGACAATAAGTCTTTTGTCTACAGAAAATCTATAGAAATTATTTTTTCTATATAGGACCTGTAGATAATTGTCCACAGAGAACTATTGGATGAAATGTGAAATGTTTTATTGTCGGTTGGAGACCTGTGGAAATTGTTTGTCTATTTATTTATCTATACCAAAAAATCTCCAAATATTTACAAATTATTATTCTCTATGTCCTTTAAGGTCTTTTATTGACTTTGTTCTAAAAATATCAGAGAAAAAAACGTTCTTCTCCTACTCACCTGATCATCTACCTGAGTGATCGGTTGTGTCATCATATAACTGGGTATCCATTGTGAACCAGCCATTGGATAACCACCCACCTGGGGTGCACCAAAACGTGAATATGGCACACCAATTGGTGTACCCATATTTACACTGACACCATTCTGTTGCATAGCATTTGGATCATAGGCCACGGGGATACCCTCAGTGGAGACATCACGCCACGTTCGTCCACTCTGATCGGGTGCTTTGAAGAGATTCTTCTTTTTGGGACCGCCATCGGCAAATTTAACTAGAAGTGGATCTTTGGCACCGGGAATAGTTGTACCATTAAATATGGCAATGATTTGTTCACATTTTTCACGGCTTTCCATGCGGGCAAAGCCAACACCTGTGTGACAAAAATAAAAGCAGAATGGAAATAAATTTATTAGAGATTATTATTATATGAAAAATATTCATCATTTACCCTTTGAGTTTAGTTGAGCATCACGTAAAATTCTTGTTGACACCACCTGACCATATTTCGAAAGCATACCCTCCAGATCGGTCTCTTTGAAGCTGGGTGGTAAATTTGCAATGTACAAATTTGTGGGATCCTGTTCTTGTTGCTGTTGTTGGTTGGATAATGCAAGTTGGCAACAATGTGAGTGAGTGTGTGGGTTGTTGGGTGGGTGGATGAATTTCAGTTGGTTGGTAGGTGTTCATGTCATGATGTTGTTGGGAGTATAAAAAATAAAAAAATAACGAAAAAATATTGTGTTTTCAATTGTTAAAGGTTGAATGTTTTATAAAAAAATTATTGGTATTTTTTTTCAAATAAATTGGCCGCACACATTTTTTTAGTTTTATTTGCAATGTGGTAGTAGTAGATGACGATGGTGTGTTGGTGGTAGTGGTATGTTAACAATTGCATATAGAGACACACAAAAACATTTGTTGTTGTTTTTGTTGGTTTCAATTGTAAATTAACGACAAAACAAGAAAACATTGAATGGGAAATTGTGTAGGTGGTGTATGTCGGTAGGTCGATGTTAGGCGATGTCGTTGTTACGGTGCAGTAATTGCAATAGTGTGCATGTGTAGTAGGTATTGTTTTTTTTTACATTGCAATAGCAAATGTATTAGTAGGTGGTGTAGGTGTTGGTAATATACATAAAATAGAGTCGATTCATGTGCGAAAAAAACGACGTCAAGTTGAAAACGTTAAATTCATTTTGTTTGTTTTCCCATTTGCCAAAAGCACACACATTTATAAAAGTTCCAAATAGTATGTGAGTGTTGGGTTATTAATTGTAGAGAGGAATAGAAAGAGAAAGAATGAAAAAAGAAAGAACAAGAGAAAAAAATAGTGTTTGTTTTCGTTGTTAGTGAAATTCATTTGCTTCTATTTCAAGTTAAAAAAACAACAGTTTTGTAAAACTTAATTTTAATAATATAAATGGTTGTTGCTGCCTGCACTCATGTCCTTATGTCTATGTGTATTAGTTTAACAGTGTATAAAGGTGTGATATCATGTAGTTAACGTATGTATATTAAATAATGCGCCTGCATGTGTATTGTGTTGTTAGTTGTTATGTTGCAATACAGTGGGTGAAACAAGTATGAACCCAGTTGGAAAAACAATAGAGATTTTTTTCTGAACTATTACAGGATCTGTAAAAGATCTCTAGATTTGGAAAATATGAACTTTAGAAGATGTTCTACATATAAAGGGAAGTGTAGAAATGAATCAAGAATATCTGTTTCTTCATTTTTAAAAAAGACATAATGATGGTGTACTTTACAGATTAGAATCAAGGAAGGATTTCTCTCTATAAAAGTTCTGCAGAATATATTTTGTCAAAGAAGATCTGTAGGAGGTCATTTGTTTATGGTTAACTTGTAGAATGAAGAATTCTACAGATCCTTCATTCTGTCAATGAAGGATCTGTAGAATGTTTATCGTCCAGAGAAGGACTATATAAACTCTTTTGCAAATATGGAACCAGTAGATGTTTTTGGGAAATATGTTAATGTTTTGGGAAATCATTCTGTCTATGAAGGATCTGTAGAATGTTTATCGTCCAGAGAAGGACTATATAAACTATTTTGCAAATATGGAACCTGTAGATGTTTATGGCAAATCTGTTAAAGCTTTTCTGTATCTTCTGTCTGTCTATCTATAGAGGACCTAAGGGGAAATCTCATTTCCAAGTATTACCTGTGAAAGATTTTTTGTCTATTGAAGACCTGAGGAATGGTCTACAGATATTTCATTCTGTCAATGAAGGATCTGTAGAATGTTTATCGTCCAGAGAAGGACTATATAAACTCTTTTGCAAATATGGAACCTGTAGATGTTTATGGGAAATCTGTTAAAGCTTTTCTGTATCTTCTGTCTGTCTGTGTATAGAGGACCTAAGGGGAAATCTCATTTCCAAGTATTACCTGTGAAAGATTTTTGGTCTATTGAAGACCTGAGGAATGGTCTATAGATCTTTCATTCTGTCAATGAAGGATCTGTAGAATGTTTATCGTCCAGAGAAGGACTATAAAAACTCTTTTGCAAATATGGAACCTGTAGAAGTTAATGGAAATCTGTAAAAGTTTTTTTTTTGTTTCTTGAAGACACGTAGAAAAGCTACTGTGTATAGAGGACCTAAGGGGAAATCTCATTTCCAAGTATTACCTGTGAAAGATTTTTGGTCTATTGAAGACCTGAGGAATGGTTTCATTATATGGAAAACATTATAAAGTTTTTCTGTCGGTAGAGGAAGGGGATTCTGTATATGACAAAATTCTCAATTGGATGGAATTATGTCTATGTAGGATCTGTAGAAAATTGTTGTTCCCGAGAGACCCTGCCGATAAACACATGACAGTAAATTCTTGAGATATTCTGTCTATAAAATAACTGCATTAATATGTTTTTCTATGGATTGTCAAAAAGGTCTACTGACAATAAGACTTTTGTCTCTAGAAATTATATAGAAATTCTTCCATGTATATATAGGACTCTAGATAATTGCCCACAGAGGACTAGAATTTTGTCCAAGGATGACCTGTGAGAAGTTTTTGTCAGTTGAAGACGTTTGGAATATATTTGCCTATGGAAGACTTGTAGAAGATTTCGGTCCACAAGAGTTCGAACAAATTGTTAAAAGTGCATCTACATAGAATACCTGTGAGAAGTTTTTGTCAGTTGAAAACCTTTGGAATATATTTGCCTATGGAAGTCTTGTAGAAGACTTCCGCCTATAAGAGTTCGAACAAAGTGTTAAAACTTCATCTATATAGAATACCTATATAAGGTCTTCAAGTCATAACATATCTAATGAAGTGGGGATTTTTCTTAGAATAAATAAATCCATAAGTGTAGATTTTTAAATATATTTTTTCAAACAACTACCACATCCACAGAAGTCGATTATTTTAAAATGTTTTTTCAAATGCTATCAAACTCACAAGACAGGATTTTATAACAATATTTTTTCAAGGACTATCGAATCATAAAAGTTGATTTCTTTAATATTTTTCCAAGGACTATGAATTTCATAAGAGTTGATTTCCTAAGAAAATATTTTTGTAGGACTAATAAATCCATTCGTGTAGATTTTTAAACTATCGTCAAATCCATAAGCGAGGATTCTTTTTAAATATTTTCCAAGTACAATCATATCCGTAAGTTTGGATTTTTACAAATATGTTTCCATGGACTATCTAATCCATAAGAGTGGACATTTAACAAATATTTTTTCCAAGGACTACCAAACCCTTAAATTAGGTTTTTTATAAAAAAGGCTTGGATTTTTTTCATATTATTACAAGGCCTATTAAATTTAAATAATTTGTAAGGACGAATAAGTCCGTTCGAGAAAGACTTGATAATTCCTGCTGCCCGTGTGAGTCCTCATATCTACAAAATGTTCACGCCCATAGTAGATCTGTTCTAAAATTCTGTTAAATTGAACTGGCTGCATACTTATTCCATCTGCTGTATTTTGAACACATTTGAAAAACGGGAAAACTTCTTTGTGTATATGTATGTGTTAATATATGTGTGTATATGTATATGTGTGTGTGATGTTTAAATGAATTTCAACAACCTAAACTTAGTTTTCGTCGTTAACTAGTGAATGAATTTCTATGTATGGAAGCACTTTTTATTATTGCAACCTTTTCGCTTAAAACATACATACAAACATATGTATGTAGTTGAAGCTGAACAGAAGCATATTCCAGCCATATATACAAACACGCATTTGCATATTACATTTCTATGTAAATGTTGGCTGTTTGGTTTCACAGGTAGCTATGTGAGCTGCATACACACAGAGATGTATTTTTGTATCTATGTATGTATGCATATGCAAAAAAGTTATAAGTGCTTTTTAATTAGTAAAAAACATACTTAATGTTAAAAGTACATCAAATAGTAACGGCACAAAATAAAACTGAACAAAAAAAAAAACACATATTTCAAGTACTTTAATTAAACGCGGCAATAGACAGACACGTTAGTCGGAATCATGATAAGTTTTCATTAATGTGTGAACGTGTGTTCACATTTCACATACCATCAAAAAAAATTTTTGTTAGGTTCTTGATATAATTATGTTTATTTTGGACGATGCTACACCAAATGTTTGTTTTAAACATTTTTTTGTATTTTAAATTAAAATTTTCAAAACAATTTAATTGAAAATAAGTACTTGAAAAATAGTTTTATTTTGTGTTACATTTTTCACTTTATTTTGTTAATAGTAAATGCTTTAATTGAAAATTATTTGTAATTTAGCTTAGGAGTATGTGTAAAAGAATTTGCTTAATAACATTTGAAGATTTTTAATTTTATTTACTAGGAATTTTAAAATGTATTATAAATATATTAAAATAATTATTTTCTATAATTTCAGAATATTCATTAAATTCCTTGTTTATTTAAAATCAGTCAAATGTTATTAATCAATAATGTGTGAGTTTGTATGTGTGATAATGACAAGAATTTTTAAAATACCTTAATTTTTTTTGTTACATACATATTAATTGTTATTATATTAATATATGTTTTATAAAAATACGTTTTAATAATAATAATGGCTTAATAACTAAATTAAATATTTATTATCAATTTCACATAAATAACTTGTTAAAGGCCGGCTCAATAGTAGCGTTAAGAGAAGAAGACATGGGTTAATTCCATTTGTAATTACATTTAATGGAATGAAAAGAAATGGTTTCTATTAAATTTATGTAAAATTAATATTGGAGGAGACTACACTGATATAATCAGGAAAAAAACATATTTACTCTTAGCGCAATTAATTTCAAGTTTTACAAAATTTTCTAATTTTTTACAATAGGTACTAAATCGTTGTATATTTATTTACTACATATACATGTCTCTGCGATAACTAATTCACGATTTTTGATATATTTATATCTTTATATAGAGCTACAGGATGTATAAAGTTGTTTTGAAATTTTTAATACCTCACAATTTTATTTATTAAATTAAAAAAAAAATGATGTATTGACGTAAAAGCGTTTTAGTACTAAAAATAATTTTGGTTGTAGTCAAAGAAAATATAACATATAATTGTTACTAATAAGTAAATAAATATTACAT